AGTGACTTAGTAGTTAAGAAAGATGGGAATTAAGTTACTGGTAATGTTAGTGATGATTGCGCTTTCATTTCTAAACGGATGGTATTGTTTAGGGTGTTGGGAAGAAGAAAGGGTTGCTCTTCTAAACCTCAAAGCAAATATGAATTTTCCAGATGGAGCATCGCTGCCTTCGTGGATGGATAATGAGACTACAACTGACTGTTGTCAATGGCAAGGAGTTGAATGCAGCAACACCATTGCGCTAGTAATCCAACTTAATCTTGAATTCATAGGGAGTAAAAATTAGGAGATTGGTATTTTAATGCCTCTCTATTTCTTCCATTTGAAGAGCTCAGAAATCTCTCTTGAAGGGGGAATAATTTAGTAGGATGGACTGAGAATGAAGGTACACTATCATCTCTTTTTAATTAGGCAGTCAACTGATTCAATTTTATTATTCCTATTTTCCTTAGTTTTATAAGTTTTTTCTTTAAGTGGCAATATATATATATTATCACTCAAAGAAAAAAATTTATAAAACTAAAGAAAATAGGAATGATAAAATTGAATCAGTTGGCTGCCTAATTAAGAAGAGATGATAGCATACCTTGATTCTCAATCCGTCCTACTAAATTATTACTCTTTAAAGAGAGATTTCTGAGCTCTTCAAAAAGGATGAAATAGAGAGGCATTAAAATATCAATCTCCTAATTTCCACTCCCTAATGAATTCAAGAATAAGTTGGATTACTCGCGCACTGGTGTTGTTACATTCAACTTGTTGCCATTGACAACAACCAGTTGGGATCTCATTATCCATCCATGAAGGCAGCGATACTCCATCTGGGAAGTTTATATTTGCTTTGAGGTTCAGACGACCAACCCTCTCTTCCTCCCAACACCCTAAACAATACCATCCATTTAGTAATGAAAGCACCATCATCACTAACATTACCAGTAACTTAATTCCCATCTTTCTTAATTACTAAGCCACCAAGTCTTACTTTTTTTTTTTTTTTTATGTATAAACAAGGTTTCAAAATCTCCAATTTATAGTGCTAAAATTGGAGTCGCCATGTTAGGTGTTTCATTTTTAACTATAGACTTTTTCTCAAAGTTGTAAAATTTGTAGCACTTTCTTATTCAAAATCTCTAGTATATGTGCGCGCGCTTCTAGAAATAAACATGAAAAGCATGATTACTTGGCATTTATCACACTTTCTTTATTTCTTTGTAAAGCAAAAGTTGAATTAATAGAAGAAAAACGGTGAAATCCAAATCTGAAAATAGAAATAATTGTAGACACACAACACACGGAGAGATGTCATGTTCCTCGTGGACATATGAATAAAGAGATTGAGAGGTGAGAAGTTTACCTACTTGGTAAGGGTGCCATTGAGTCCACACTAGCAAAGCTAAAACCCTAAGAGAAGTCATTGCTCTAATGATTGAAGTTTGAATAAAGTTTGTATCTAACCTCCAGCTGGATTGAATGCCTCAACTCCGTGTATGAAAAACATTGAAATGTTAACATGTGATCCCATACTCCACTCGTGCCTGGTTGTACTTTTCTTCCCAATTTTTTTGCTTTTCAGACCATTGCACAGTGCATGGGAGGAGCCGCATATGTTGACTCCTAAATATGCCGCGACTGTTGACAAAAAACTTTGTAGCCATATTTTATTATAATTGAATTACCATAAATGCCATTATACAAATAGAATTAATGCAATGTTAAATAGCATATAAGTCATTTCACATTTCCAACTATGAATGAATGCAACAATTTCACCTGATATTTCATTGGTCACCATTCGTAACTTCTCCCAATGCACTGTATAACGGTTTGAAAAATGATATATAGGTGAAGAAAAGCACGATGTCTAATTGTAATCAATACAGGAGGTGTCATATATCATAAATATATCGTAAACAATTTCGATTTTTGTTTATTATTTAAGAAAATTATTAGGATATTGACTCGTAAATAGTTAAGGGATAAGGGGTCATACCTGCATTAAAAATAAACCTTGGAGTGAATGGACCAAATCACCAAAATGAAATGACGTCCTGGAATAGTTTTTGTCGAAAAAATTATTCAAATTAATTGCTAGTAAACCAAGGCAATGGCACTGACACGTGGCATTTAATTTGGCATTTTTTGGGGCCCATTTGATTAGTTGCCTGTCCCACTAGAATTTTATTATATACTGTTGGAAGATTCTTTGTAACCCATTCTGCCAATCATGTAGAGCCCAACACTGCCGTCCATTGACCATCTTCCTTTCCATGTTTCACAGGCCACTTTTAGTGTTCACAATACAACTGGACAAAACTCTCAAATCCAATTCAACTCGAACCTACTTGTTTCGAGTCAAATTGAATTGAACAGATTGGTTCTTTTTAAATTAAATACTCGAATTTAAATCGAGAATCGACGTGTTTGGTTTGGTTTCGATTCTCATTCTCGGTCTAGAACTGTGAACCAAATAAGAATTGAATCTCTACAATTTTTTAATCTTAAATAAGCCAATTATTTTATTTTTTAAAATAAATTTGTTGACTAATTAATTTAGTCTAAACCCACTATATGATTTTTCTATTTTTAATTTTCAGTCCAAACTCAATTTAATCACATTGACCTAATTTTTACCCAAATCTATAATTTTACCTTAGTGTCATTTCTACAGTTCTAGAGAAATCAAATTGAAAGCTCGGATAAGCTTCTTTTTATTATTGCGAGCTCGATTTCTTCTTTTTCCTATGATTTTAACAATCAAATATATGAATAACTCAACAAAAAGATGCATAAAAAATACATAAAATTGGATTACGTTATTTTGTAAAAATTAAGATTGAATATATTATTAATTGAATACTTGAATCAATGTAGTGTTGCAAATATTGAAAAATTTAATTCTCGTATGAATCCCAAGAACCTAATGGAACCGAACTGACCCAAATGGGACCGAACCTGAATGGTTCCATAATAAAATTTGGACTTGACGATTCTATTTTCTAAATATCCAAAAATTCGGATTCGGTTCAATTCTCGACCGTGTCCAGCCCTAGTCCATAATGAAATGGAAATAGAGGGTCCATAATGAAATGGAAATAGGGTGGCCGCATATCACACACACAGTTTGTACGACATCACATTTTAATGATAAATTTATGTTTAAAAAAAAAAATTGAATTCTTTAATGTAAATTAAGGACATTCAAGTTTCTGAGCCGTGTTTGTATATCAAAATCTGCACAAGTTGTGTCATCAATTTTTTCAATGTTGATGTGACTGTTGAAATACAGAACAAAAATTATCTGATAAATAAATTTTTCTTTAATAAAAAATTTAAGTTCGGTACTAGATATTTAAGGGCACGTTTGGACCACATTTTTCCAAAAAAATATATTTTTAAACAGTGATTTGACATAATTTCAATCACACATTCTTCAATAAAATAATATTACACGTAAATTCAAAATTTTTCTTTATTTTTTAACCACACATTTCCTATCAATACATTATTCAAAAATTCATTCTAAACAAAATAATGTGGCTCAAACAAGGGCTAAGTATACATTATAATCAAGAAATAAAGATAAAGAAGATATCATCTGACACCAATAGAAAAGAGCAAAACCAACAGGAAATTGATGATATTTCAGTTTTAATTTTTAGCAAAAAATCATTACCTATTCGGTTCCCAGTCCATGGCGGAATAATGTTGGAGTTAGCAACGATTCTTGTTCCGTTGCTAATTTCCATTGTTACGAATCCTGGATCTAGTAGTTATGGTATATTTTTCAAGAAAATCTCTTTTTTTAAGTGAAAGGAAAAGTTTTAAATAATAGTTATCTTATTGATTAAAGTTTAATATATGAAGTCCTTTGAAATTAAAATATAGTATTACTTTAAATCATTCGTCAACGTAACATGAAAATAAGACACTTGAAAACAAAAGGCAGTTTTTTAAAAGGCTTTAGAAATGCACTATCTTAAAACTATAACTTATTTCAATTTTTTTGCTTTTACTTAATCAAATCGTCGAGGCATTAAATTTTGAAATGATGCTCCTCCCAGAGGAGATGAATTTTGACTAAGACTACTTACACAAGCCCAATAGAGCGGAATCATGAAAATTATATTATGGCTTCTCTTGTAAGGTGTATTACAATATTAAGGATCATTTGAGCCCCATTTTTTTTTTTTTTGTCTAAAATGTATTTTAAAATAGTAAATTGATAGAAAATGTGTAGTTGAAAGTGAAGAAAAAAATTTTGGGTTGTTTTTACTATTATTTTATTAAAGAACGTGTGCTTGAAAAAAGAAAGAAAAATTTATTTGAAAAGAATGGGAATCAAACAAGGTCTAAAAGAAGAAAGATAAAAATATTTTATTTGTAGTATATTTGAATCTCATCTAGTAGACTAGTACTAAACATTTGAATTTGAAATTTGTCGAATGTGATATCAAAATTACTAAGTATGCCCTAAAGATGAGATTTATCTAAATGAAAATTTATCTCTTTTTTTCACATTTTTTTACAAACTTAAATTAATGATAAAATCTCCAATTGAGCTTATAGCTTTTAAATTGTTGATTCCATGGTCTCTGTTTTTCATTCATAATCAGTGGAAAGTTGAAATGTTGTTATTTTTTCTTCATTGTCCAAAAATTTTAGTACTTATTATGGTCCCATTTGGTACCCATTTTTTTCAAAATGCATTTCTCTCTCTCTTCTTTTCAACCACAAATTCTTTATTAAAATAATATTACACGTAAATCAAAAACTTCTCCTTATTTTTCAACCACGCATTTTCCATCAATTTACTATTCAAATAAATTTTGCCTGTGCAATGCACAGATAATGTTATTTTTAGGTAATGCTAGTGGGTCAAAATTGATAGAAGATATGTGCATTGGATTAGGTTAGCAAAATGAACTTATTTTGATGATGCAAATTTTCATATGATTTACCCATGAAATATAGCTACGAAACAATCGAAGAGCACGAGGAAATCAAGAAAACTTCAACTTAGATACAAAACAATTACCAAACAAGGGCAGTACATTTCCACAACATGTCAATGAAAAAATAATACAATTTTTGTACATAAATATTTTTTTCTATTTTAAGAAACGTACTCAGAAGATCTACCTTCAAAATTCATAACAAAGAATTTAAACGGTAGTAAAAATAAAGAAAAAGTTTTACATGAGAAGTAGCATCCTCTCCGGATTTTGTTGTTGCCGGATTTGAAGAATTTCAAGATTACATGTTTTCTTGAAGGTCTAAATTCGGCAAGCAGATTAGGCAGTTTCTTGGAAGAATTCTAAGTGTTATCTTTGATGAACCTCAAGTCTTTTGAAGGCTGAAGATCAACCAGGTTCATTTGCAAACGTCCTCAAATGTTTCAAGTTCATCATCTCCACTTGGAAGATTTGAAAATGGTTAGGATATATGCATTGTTCAAGCTGTCAGTTGAAGTTTTATTTTCTTTGATGTTTTAAAGATCATATGCTTGAAGAAGGTTTGGTGCTGTTGAATTTCGGCCACTTCATTGTATTGGGCAGCTTCGAGCAGGCTCAACTTGTTGGTAGGCCTCCTATTTTCCTCATTCGGCTTCTTCCCAGCCCCAGGTTCAAGTTCGAATCATGCTATTCATTGGGGAGTTTGTCCAACAACTTAGGCACTCTACGTTTCCAACTTTATTGGACGATTGTTATTGTAATTGCCCAGCAGGTTCTATGAACCCAGCTCTTTATGTTTTGGTTGAATTTAGCTGCCTGCTTGCATCCAGACTGCAACATGGGTTTTTGGGTTTGTGGTTTTTGGACGCAAGTTCCACTTGGTTGGGTTGAATTTCTTGAGTGTTTGCAAGTTTTAATCTGCAATTGTTAACTCATATCCCAGTTTAATTGTTTTTTACAACATCAACGGGTTAACTTTAGTGATATCACTATCAGCAAGTATACTCTGATTTTTGAGTGTTAATACAACTACTCCACCTTCAAGACTGTAAGTCTACAAAGAATTTTGACTTCACCAAGGTTTTCTGCTAACAGATTGTGAAATTGAAACTTCTGTCCAATTTGACGTAAATGATAATTATAAGCCAGTTAAAAAAATGTGAAACTCAGTTGATGTCTCCCCAATAGAATTTTAATTATTTCAGCCTTCAAGAATTCCCATTGACATATATATCTCCTGCCATGTCAAATACAAAAAATGCATACAACTATCGAAGTTATATAGCCACATGGTGTCAGAATCGTAACAAAGAGACCAGATGGATAATAGACCTATAAAATCACATTCAAAAATAATAATTGAGCTAACAATTTCTAAAATCAAGAATTAGCTGGATAGAAATCTTTGTCATCAAATGTATGCTGAAATATAATGTAAAACTTTATGAAATGGTTTCTAATATAATTCTTAGCGTGTGTGTACAAGTTAAAAGGGAACACCAGTGTTATGTTGTGGTGTTGCCTTATCATCATTTTCTCCTTCATTGATGTTAACAAGTGGCATGTAAGAAAAATTAAAGATAATTTTCAACAAAATTCGTCATATATTACATCAAATAGTCAAAGGATAACTTTATTTCCTTTTTAAGTATGAAACGAAAATAAACACTAAACCTCAGGCCAAAAACCTGTTCCTCAAATATTTTTGAAAGCTACAAGAATTTCTCTTTTTCATCATTTCTTTTCTCTTCAAGTTTCTGCTCGTCTACTAATGCTAAAACCTCATAAACACCTTCTGACTTTTCTTCAATCTTTCTTGCCTCATTCGGCAACATAATGTAATTAGTGATACTCATCAAAGTACAATTTCTTACCTGAAGACGAACAAAGTGCAATTTCTTACCTCAAGAACCATGAAGAAGCAACAATAAACATATCAGAAATTGGGAATTGTACGAAAAATTCATGCCAATGATATGTAAGTTACAGAAATTTGATCGCAGAGTTACGAGATTCTAAAACCAGTTCTCGTCTTCGTTTGTCACCCAATCATAGTAAAACCATGCTCGGTCTTTCGCGTAATAATGGTTTTATCGGCAAAAGAAGCAGCACCACAAATGAACAATGGAAACCCACCAAAATCCCTGGAAATTGATTGAAAGGAGTAAAAAACATGAAATTTAAACAAAAACTAATCTTACCTCAGATTAGCGACGGACGGAGCAGCTGATGCGGCGGCAAAAGAAGTAGCGCCACAGATGAACGAGAGATACCCAGAGTCTTCGTCATCGTCCCCAAAAGCAGAAACAGCAACTCCAAAAATGAACATCTTCCAATAGGAGAGCAGGAAGTAAGAAGTGGGAGAAAGCAAAATGCACTTTATAGGAAAGAGATATTTTGAGTAGCTACTGTAAATGGACAGTGAATTGTAAAGCGACTACGCTAATTTGCTTTTGCGGATGAACAGTTGAGAGCATTAAAGTTCATTTGAATTGAACAACGGAGAGCCAGTTTTGCTACAGACTACAGTGTAGAACCAATTAGAAACCAGCCAAGTGTGAATACTCCCGAACAAAAATGGACTGTAATTATGAATTGCCACTTCTAAGTGAAGGATAAATCGGGATCGAGCTACATAGCCCGTGTGGGTGATCGCATGGTTGACATAACACACACATGCGGTCGAAATTATTTTATTTATGGGGATCCACGTCGGCCATGTAAGACTACGGTCACTTAGAGTGTCAACAGCGTGGGTCGTTTGACTTTTTCCATAAATCGGTGCCATGTGAAGCCCAAATAGGTAGTGTAATAGAGGTGATTGTTTTTTTCCACATATGAAATAGTAAAATGTGAGGAAAAATCAGAAATGAACGGTGATTTGAGATTCCCTCTTTTAAGATAGAGAGAGGACAATGGATAAGGTTTTTTGTTTGAAATTTGTATTGTTTCTATATTTTAAAGCTATCCTCCCTCTGCTTTTTCTCGTATACTAATAATAATAATAATAATAATAATAATAATAACAACAAAAACCTGTTTGAGAAGGTTAAAATGGTTGTTTGATCTATATTTTGAGAAATTTTGTTTAATCTTAAAACGCGACAAGAAAAATTATAATTATTATAATAAATTGAATTTTAATTCTCAAAGAGTTTATTGTTTTGATGATCATATGATCTACCAAAGAGTTACCACAATTTAAAGTATATTGAACTTAATGTGTCATCATAATTTTACTGCTTGAAAAGTTTTATCAAAATCTCATATGCTTGACATAAGAAAAGTGACTAAGAGATGACAAACGTTGCGATCAAATGAACTGTCACTCAGATCAAGGGCCTCCAAATTTCTCAACCTTGACTATCTATTGAAAGTCTGCGTCTGCAAGTGATGGTAATGAAGCAACTGTATGGATGGAATAGCTATGCCAACAAATTGATGTGTCGAAGTTAAAAATTTTCTATCTTGATAATTTGACAATCACACAGATGCAATGCGAACTAATTTGCAAAAAATGACTCCGGCGATGACTAATGCCTTTTTCTTCCTTTTAATACCAAGCAAGAATTGGACGTCGACAGTGATAATATATCACCTTTTTATGATGTTATTGTAATTGATAAATTCTCAGATATATAGATGATGAAAGTTATGATGGCTTTCCAATTTGGGATGAGAAACTAATGAAGTGGTCGGAAAAATCCTTCCTTAAAGGCTAAAGCTTTTGAATTTAGTAAGGTAGTTTTGAAAATTTGTTTGGTAAAGTTGGCTACTTTACAACCAATCAAAAATTTCACTTCCATCGTTCTCTAATCTGGAATTTTGGAATAATGTTGATTAGTTTGCACAAATGGTTTAATAATGAAAGTTTTTTTCTTAATTTTAGATTTCAACGATTACAAATTTTGGACCTCAGTTCTGACTATATTGACATGTTAACAATCTCACTTTTGTAAGTTTCTCTTCAACTAATTATACTTACACCATCAATATCAATTGAAAATTGAAAAAAATATCCTGTGTGAGAGAGAAAGACCCCATTCTTTTAGATTATGATTATGAAAAAGCTCTTTCCATTTCCAATTGTACAATAGAAATTGCTAAATTTTCAAGTTAACTTTTTGTATATGTTAATATTTCTATTGTTTTATAACAATTCTCATCAATCAATTAATTGAAATTTATATTGTGAAAAGTAACAACTTACAAACCAAATGAGTTCAAGTGCTAATACAGGTACATAACAAGATTCCTTAAATAATAAATTCTTAATGATAAGAATATTTACACGACCTGTAATGATATCAACCCTTCAACATCTCACATCAAAGCAAGCTTACAACTGCTTTGGTACTTCCTAATGAAGAAAAACGACGAGATTGATTAGATATATTATAAAGATTTAAAGCTCATGCCTTCAGTGGGCAAGATAAAATTTATCCACCATTAACGTGGCAATGCCCATCACCAAGTCAGAGCTGCAACTTTTAAATTTTCAATGCCACATCAAGAGGTCAAGTTGTAATTTTTGACAATTCAAAAAAATAAAATAAAGTTGGTCGACCCATTGACATGGCAACACTAGTTGATGTGGCACTACCCTGTCAACAATGGGCATTATAAACTCGTGCCCACTAGGTAGAGTGACATGAGTCCTTTCACTCCAGGGGGATAGATGTCCAACCAATAAGGGGCGCTTGTTCGTCCAAGGCCCATGACTAATAGCAAAACCCTAAAGATATATTAGTATAATGATTTTCATATAGAATTATAGCAAGTACCTTAATTTGGAATATACGCAGCCTCAAAATTGGATTATATGAACCTCCATGAAATGAAACCATGCTCTTCTCCAATGAGGATTGATATACAAAACTGTAGGAATGCAAAGCACTACAGATATATAAGATATGACGAAGCTTATGTAGAAGAACTCCATGTCCATGAAACCATGCTCCTCACTTTCATCATCAGCAGATGGCAGGACTGGTTTTGGTCCAGTGCTAGTGCAATCAACATGTAATGGACGACCACAAAGATAAGGATTTCCCTGATAGCTACCTTCATCAAAGGTTCCAAACTGACCTTTCTCTGGTATCATACCTGTTAGATTGTTATGAGCTACACTGAAGACTGCTAAAGCATTTAACTCGCTCAAACCAGTGGGGATCCTTCCACCTAAGTTGTTATAGGAGAGATCTAAGCTCTCTAACTGGAGTAAGTTTGAGAAAGTTGCTGGAATTGTTCCAGTAAGATTGTTGTGGGAAAAGTTGAGTGCATGGATCTCACTTAACTTTCCAAGGCCATCCGGAATTTCACCGTGTAATTTATTAGAAGAGAGATCAATTCCTGACATATAACTGAGGATGCTACCTTTGTACGAATAAGAATTTCCCTTTGTCACGAATGTCACTGTAATTGGCACATCAGTTAATTTGAAATCTTCAGTTTTTTGGAAAGACACGTGATAGTCCCTTTCTAACTCAACCTTATCCATATAAGAAATGAATGAGGAAATTGAAGAGCTGTCAAATTCCACAACCAATACAGACTTCTTCTTGGTTACCTCTAGCGTTAAGTTACTGAAGCAAAACGGAATTTGACCCGAAAGACTATTAAAAGAAAGGTCTATCATGCTTAGTTTTTTCATCTCACAAAATTGGTGAGGGATTCTACCTTCAAAATGGTTATCTCTGAGAAGAATAATGCTCATGCTTGATAGATTGCCAATCCATTGAGGGATGCTTCCAGTGAACTATGACGAAGCTTATGTAGAAGAACTCCATGTCCATGAAACCATGCTCCTCACTTTCATCATCAGCAGATGGCAGGACTGGTTTTGGTCCAGTGCTAGTGCAATCAACAGGTAATGGACGACCACAAAGATAAGGATTTCCCTGATAGCTACCTTCATCAAAGGTTCCAAACTGACCTTTCTCTGGTATCATACCTGTTAGATTGTTATGAGCCACACTGAAGACTGCTAAAGCATTTAACTCGCTCAAACCAGTGGGGATCCTTCCACCTAAGTTGTTATAGGAGAGATCTAAGCTCTCTAACTGGAGTAAGTTTGAGAAAGTTGCTGGAATTGTTCCAGTAAGATTGTTGTGGGAAAAGTTGAGTGCATGGATCTCACTTAACTTTCCAAGGCCATCCGGAATTTCACCGTGTAATTTATTAGAAGAGAGATCAATTCCTGACATATAACTGAGGATGCTACCTTTGTACGAATAAGAATTTCCCTTTGTCACGAATGTCACTGTAATTGGCACATCAGTTAATTTGAAATCTTCAGTTTTTTGGAAAGACACGTGATAGTCCCTTTCTAACTCAACCTTATCCATATAAGAAATGAATGAGGAAATTGAAGAGCTGTCAAATTCCACAACCAATACAGACTTCTTCTTGGTTACCTCTAGCGTTAAGTTACTGAAGCAAAACGGAATTTGACCCGAAAGACTATTAAAAGAAAGGTCTATCATGCTTAGTTTTTTCATCTCACAAAATTGGTGAGGGATTCTACCTTCAAAATGGTTATCTCTGAGAAGAATAATGCTCATGCTTGATAGATTGCCAATCCATTGAGGGATGCTTCCAGTGAACTTATTCTTTCTAAGATCCAATGTCACCAAAGAAGAGCTATTATGAAATGCATATGTGAGCTCACCTTCCAATTGGTTATTGTTCAGATAGACATGACTTATGCTTGATGGATTGAAGCAAGATGGGACCGAACCACATAACTTGTTCTCAGATAAATCTAAGAGGAAAAGAGAATTGAGATTGCAAATTTCCACCGGGATTGGACCCTCGAGCTGATTATTAGACATAGAAACTTGCTCCAATCTTGTCATATTACCCATTGATGAGGGAATTCTGCCAGAAAAATGGTTGTTACTAATGTCTAACACTACTAGAGGGCTGGTAGACAAGCTACTTGGTATAGTGCCCGAGAACTCATTGTTCTCCAGATATAAATATTTCAAGCTCGGTAGGTTGGTAGATTCTGGAAATATTTGTCCTCGCAATTTATTATCTGATATCTTGAAAAAAAACAAGGAAAAGCATCCCACAACTAATTCTTGCGGCATCATGCCTGACAAGTTATTGGCTGACAAATCTATGTATTTTACAGATTTTAAACCACCAAAACTAGAAGGTACACACCCATCAAACATATTTGTTGACATGTTTAATGCAACCAAATTTGGAAAAACTGAAGCTATATTAGTCGGAATATGTCCACTTAACTTATTATTAGATACATCGAAAGTCTCCATGTCAGTATTGGTGTTTGTTGGCAACTTGAGAGGTCCTGTAAAAGCATTATCCCTCAGGTAAAATCCCCTAAATCTTGTGTTGTTCTCTAACAACCAAGTTGGAAAATTCCCTTGAATGTTGTTCTTTGGGAGATAAAGAATTCTCAAGTTGGATTGATAATAAAAGAAGTTGGGTAGTGTTGGACATCCACTAGAATTCGACATACTAAAAACTTCCAGCTGAAAATTTGGAACCCAATTTCCTAACCCGTTTTCATTTATTATTTCATTGTTTTCCAAAAATATAAACTTAAAATTTGAATGATTAAAGAATGTCTTGAAAGAAATTGGAACTTTAAAGTTGTTACTTGATATGGAGAGATATTCTAGCGATGTGAGCTTGGAAAGTGGAGAGGAGGCAATATTTCCAGTCAACTTATTGTGAGAAAGGTCAATTAATCTAAGAGATGTCATATTTGCAACACATGAAGGGAGTATTCCTTCACACTCGTTCCAACTCAGATTTAACTCTTGGAGGTTTTTAAGTTCACACCATCCTGCAAGTCAAACGATTAAAATCACTACTTCGAAACTCATAGTAGAAATAGGGAGTATAAAGGCCTTGTTTAATAGGAAAGCTTTTGTGCCTAAACTTGCTTTTTAAGTCAGGAAGATACTTTTTTAGGAGTAAATTTTTATTTTTTTTTTATTTTTTTTTTATAGGAGATAGATGGCAATAAACTACTCATTTTTAATGCAACTCACTTTATTATCCAAATAAATAACTTACTTATTTCCACTGTAACCAATAAAATAAAAAACTATAGGTTGTAAAACTTAATTACTTTTAAGTAAATTTTAAGGTTAGCCTAATCGATTTATATTATATTAATTATAAAAATGCTATTTGACGAAGTAAAAATACTTCTTTTGTTAGAGACTTGTGTTTTAGTTCATTTCTCTTTAGTCACAAATTTTTTATTATTTGATAGTGAAGCAATCAATATCAATTGTGTTTTATGTGAAATCTTATAGTAATGTAGCTACATTATAAGGGATACAAACATGAGATGAATTTGCGTTCATTAACCAAAAAATGCAACTTAGATGCAAGGAAAGTTGTAAAATTGTGAAAGTAAAAATAGTCGAAGAAACAATTTATTAATCAACATGCAAAGTCATGGAAAACATTGTTTACCAAACAAGTCATTGAAATTTACCTCGGACGGGAAGGGTGCCATTGAGTCCGCATTTAGTCAAAGATAAAATCTTTAGGGATGTCGTTGCTCCAATACCTTGTAGAAAGTTTCCACCCACAGCAGAATTATCCAAGAACAACCTCTCCAGGCTTCTTAAATGTCTCAACTCTTATACACAAAAGAAACAAAATGTGCATGAGAACTTGAGATCATATCGTAATTAGTAATATAATTTTTTTACTACAAATTACAGGTCTTTTGGCTTACCATAAGGTCCAATGTTTCCATTTATATAATTGTTCCGGAAATAGAAGTGCTTGAGGTATGAGAATACCCTCAAAGATTGCACCATGTTGCTAATGTTGGAGACACTTACGTCATCTAATTTTAGCACTTGGAGACTAGGCATACTTCTGATGTCTGAAACGAAGTACTTAATATTCAAGTACAAGCAGATTAAAGTTCATTGTTCAAAAAAATAGAAACATGAAAATCTAGGTGGAGTACCTATTGGAGTTGTGAAGTTGTCGATCTCATTATTGCTTAGATCAAGCTCCTCCAAATTACTCAAAGCATGTAAATCTAGTTGGAGATAGAGAAATAAACATGTACAAGAAAACAGTGAATATAGAGATTGAGAACTCAGTAAGAAAAATAAGGAGGAGTTCTAAATTGTAGAACTAACATTTCATTTCGATGGTCCCTTTTAGTTCATTCCAAGAGAGATCTAGAGACGTGAGTGATGATAACCCTTGAAGCGAGGAGAAAATGTGATTATCAAAGCTATTTGATTGTAAATTAAGGACCTTCAAATATTTTGGACCTGTTTTTATAACCAAATCCGAAGTAAGTTGCAAAAATATTTATAATGCAAGCCAATCAACAAGAAACTACTATTTTAGTGAAAGGGGAGGAGCCGGGAGCAAAATAACATGAATGTTTCAGCTCATACATAGTAAGGCAGAAGTGAAGTAAAGAAAGAAGAGGAAATTAACAAAGAATGAATTATCAACATCATGGATAAAGAATGAAATGAGATGATATACCATAAATGGTACCCGAGCTTCTAAATTGATTGTCACTTAGGTCGAGCTTCTTCAAATTGATAAAATCATTTAAATCTACGAAAAAATTATGTAAAAATATTAAAAGGTGATGACAATATAGTCTTCTCTGAACTAAAAACAATATATCATGCTTGTGAAAAGGAGACTCACTTAGCACCGATAGAATGTCGCCATTGGTAATATCATCATTACCCATGAAATCAAGAACTTCAAGCTTGTTTAATCCGAAGAGTCTTTCATGGCCTATGAAATGATATTTTTTTAAAAATAATAATATGTTTCTTCAAGTTATTAAATAATTAAATGATGTCTAGTGGAAATCAATGTTGACTGAAAGTACTTACACAAGCACAATGGACGAAAGCATGAAAATAATATTATGGCTTCTTTAGTAAGGTGTATTAACAATATTAAGGAATAAAAATGTCTTACTTGTTGTATTGTCTAGAGCCAAACATGCCCTTAATCTTTTACATCTGAATTACTTGGATTAATTAGCACTGTTAATATCTCATCACGATCAACATATATATTTAGTAATGCTAAACTTATTAGGAAGAACAAATGGCAAGAAGTAAATAGGAAAGAAATTGGCATAATTTTCATGCTACAGTATTGTGAGTAGATTCATCAAAAATGAAACCGACGGTTCAATTGATTTTTTGATATATACTTATAATAGAGGAAACTAAATATCTTGAAAAATTATTTATCTTATACTGCATCAATAAAAGTTTTTAATTAATATAATAAGTTGATTTATTTTCCAGAGGTTGATTTTTAGACAATCACATGATCTATCAAAGAATTACCAAAATACATAATATATTTAACTTACTATTGCTGTAATTCTTTCTCCTCAATGAGTTGTATCCAAATCCCAGATATTTGAGAGAAGAAAGCCGACTAAGAGATGACAAAATTTTACGATCAAAAAAATTGCTACTCAGATCAAGAGCTTCCAAATTTCTCAACTTTGATAATCTATCAATACCTAAAACAAAATTTAATACATCTATATTATCACTCAAAGAAAAAGGAATAATAAAATAGATTCGGCAGTCCACCTAATTAAGAAGAGATGGCAGCATACCTTCATTTTCAATCCATCCTACTAAATTATCCCCTCTAAAGAGAGATTTATGAGCTCCTTAAAAGGAAGAAATAGAGAGGCATTTAAATACCAATCTCCTAATCTTCGAATCCTGGCGAAATAAAGATTAAGTTGGATTACTCGTGCAGTGATGTTGCTGCATTGAACTTGTTCCCATTGACAACAATCAGCTGCAGTTTCATTATCCACCCACGAAGGCAGGGCTTCCCCACTCGGGAAGTTTATATTTGCTTTGAGGTTCAAAAGAGCAACCCTCTCTTCCTCCCAACACCCTAAACAATACCATTCATTTAGCACCATCATCACTAACATTAACAGTAATTTAGTTCCCATCTTTCTTAACTACTAAGCCACTAACTCTTACTTTCTTTTCTGGATAAACAAGGCTGCAAAATCTCCAATTTATAGCTCTAAGTGGAGTTGCCGTGCTAGGTGGTTCGTTTTTAATTATTGACTTTTCGTCAAAATTGTAAATTTCTTATTGTCAAATTGATTAAATGAAAGTGGTCCTTTACTAGAGGTTGATTGATTGAGAATCAATGAACAACAACAATAATAATTCTATTTCTGCACTATTTTTACTGTCTGAAGGGGTATTAGGTCAAACACTTGATGGAATTAATTTCAACTTTATCTCCTATTTGGCAATTTTAAGACAAATCCGAACAAGGACCGGCTTCCATTTATGAAGAACAGTAATCACTAACCAAACCCGAAGACTTAATTCGCATCTTTATTAATTATCGGCACAATAAATTTGGTGAGATTCCGTGTTGGGGGTTTCCCAATTTATACAAGAAGTCAACCCAAATATGCTGTTAATTCTCTAATTAATACTCCCTTCGTCCCAGTTATATAGATTGGGTTTCATTTTTCTATTGTTCCAAATATAAATGTTTGTTTCCTAATTTAGAATATTTTGTTTTATTCCTTTACTAATATACTCTTATTCAATTTTCCCTATAATATGCAAATTTCATGAAATCATCTAAATACACATTCTCACTTCTTGGAAACATGGAACAACTCTAATTTCTCCTTCTTCAAATTTAATCATTCAAATTCTTTACTTATTCCAACAATAATTCGCTACTACATACTGAAAATTAAATAAGGGTAAACTAGGAAAGATTTTGGCAAAAATTAATTTTCCAATGACATTAAAGAAGATTTCGTAATCCATGTGAAAAACGAAATAAATCTATATAATTGGGACGGAGAGAATATTAGTGTATGTAAAATTCTATATGTTTGCTACATTTTTTTTATTATCAACAAACTATGAATTGACTTAGTGCATAAATATCTAAGGATGTTATCAATGTTGGAGCCTGCTTCAAGATCACATTAAAAAAAATGTGGTAAATTAAACTTCCTTTGACCAAATTAATAAATTATTTATAAATAATCAAACTTCATTTTTAATTAAATATTTTAAAGTAAACTATAAGTAATAACCACTATTATGTCTATTTATTTATAAATAAATCGTTCATTATTTTTGTCAAACGGAGGTTAAGTGTTACGATAATTTCTACATTACACCCATTTTTAAATTAAATAATGCCATTTGCCTAGGATTTACGTTTGAGAATTAAAACTATCCTCTAGAAGAAGTCGACCTCTGGTCAATGTAGAAAATGCCCACTTTCTACTGGAAAAAAAGGATGGCTGTGTTTTTGGAAAAGAGCGTGGATTATTAAGTAATTGATACAAAACGTCTTTGTCATTTGTTTCTTTTGTTCATACTGTTTTAATGTTTTAATTTTAGCAGATGGGCCGTCTTTGTCATTTGTTTCTTTTGTTCATACGGTCCTTAATGTTTAATGGACCTATAAGTTATGAAACTTTTCGTCAAAATTGTAAATTTCTTATTGTCAAATTGATTAAATGAAAGTGGTCCTTTACTAGAGGTTGATTGATTGAGAATCAATGAACAACAACAATAGTAATTCTATTTCTGCACTATTTTTACTGTCTGAAGGGGTATTAGGTCAAACACTTGATGGAATTAATTACAACTTTATCTCCTATTTGGCAATTTTAAGACAAATCCGAACAAGGACCGGCTTCCATTTATGAAGAACAGTAATCACTAACCAAACCCGAAGACTTAATTCGCATCTTTATTAATTATCGGCACACTAAATTTGGTGAGCTTTACTGTTGGGGGTTTCCCTATTTATACAAGAAGTCAATCCAAATACGCTGTTAATTCTCTAATTAATACTCCCTCCGTCCTAATTACATAGGTTGAGTTTTCTTTTTCTCTTGTCCCAAAAATATAGGCTTGTTTCATAATTTAAAATATTTTGTTTTATTCCTTTACTAATATACCCTTATTCAATTTTTCCTACTTAATATGCATATTTCATGAAATCATCCAAATACATATATTCTCACTTCTTGGAAACATGGAACAACACTAACTTCTTCTTTTTCAAATTAAATCATTCAAATTCTTTACTTATTCCAACAATAATTTACTACTACAGACTGAAAATTAAATAGGGGTAAACTAGGAAAGATTTTGACAAAAATTAATTTTTCAATGACATTAAAGAAAATTTCTTAATTTGTGTGAAAAACGAAATAAGTCTATATAATTGAGACGGATTGAGTATTAGTGTATGTAAAATTCTATATGTTTACTACATGTTTTTATTATCGACAAACTATGAATTGACTGAGTGCATAAATATCTAAGGATGTTATCAATGTTGGAGCCTGCTTTAAGATCACATTAGAAAAAAATGTGGTAACTTAAACTTCTTTGACCAAATTTATAAATTATTTATAAATAATCAAACTTCATTTTTTATTAAATATTTTTAAGTAAACTATAAGTAATACCCACTATTATGTCTATTTATTTATAAATAAATCGTTCATTATTTTTCTCAAACGGAGGTTAAGTGTTACAATTATTTCTACATTACACCCATTTTTTAATTAAATAATGCCATTTGCCTAGGATTTACGTTTGAGAAATTAAAACTATCCTCTAGAAGACGTCGACCTCTGGTCAATGTAGAAAATGCCCACTTTTAGCCCTCCAGGGCACATCCGAGTTGGTGGAACAATTGCATTGGTGGGTTCACAAACCTAACGTGGAGAGTTCGATTCCTAGAAGGCAGCATCTTGGAAGAGGGATTTATCTCGAAGGCAAAGTGCTGGAAGACAGTGACGAGAGCTCTATTAGGGGAAGGAGTATAAGCCATGCAGGAACCTGGGAGCCAACAAGGGCACAACCCGCGATTAACTTCCTCAAGCTAATGAGGGGCCGGAGACTTGAGGTCCAGGAATTAGTCTGGTGAAGCTGGGATACCTGGGTATAAAAAAAAAAAAAAAAAGAAAGAAAATGCCCACTTTCTACTAGAAAAAATGAATGGCTGTGTTTTTGGAAAAGAGCGTGGATTATTGAGTAATTGATACAAAACGTCTTTGTCATTTGTTTGTTTTGTTCATACTGTCCTTAATGTTTTAATTTTAGCAGATGGGCCGTCTTTGTCATTTGTTTCTTTTGTTCATACTGTCCTTAATCTTTAAATTTTAACAGATGGGCCTTCAAATCAATTAAACCTTGAGCAAACCTTTAAATCAATTTCCTCCATTAAAGCTTTGATCAATTTATATTCTTTTTTAAATAAACAAAAATAAAAAAATAATTTCAGCTAGAATCTTAATTTCTTTTCAAAAAGAGTAGACGAGTCTCAATTAAAATATTTTAAAGTTTTATATGTTTAGTACAACTTTTTAAAATCAACAATTAAAAATTGAATGACTACATAAGTCTCTATTCATGCTTTCTATCATTGTTGGCATAGGCGGATTCAAAAATTGCCATGAGTTAGGATGATGGTTGATCATTGACAGTCAACCGTCAACGCTCGTAATAATGGGATCATTTATTAGCATTAATTAAATACTATTAAAAAATAACCGCTCTAGAGAAGTATAAAAGTCCACACAATTTTTCCAATATCTCATGTATAGCTAGACGCATTGTTCTATTGAGATCTTAAGCACATCCTTAGTATTTTCAAATTGTCCCGCTAAATTTACTACTTCCTCTGTCCCAATTATATATGCTAAGTTTCATTTTTTTCTTGTCTCAAATATATAAGCATGTTTCCTAATTTGGAATATTTTGTTTTATTCCTTTACCAATATATCCTTATTCAATTTTTCCTACTTAATATGTCAACTTCTTGAAATCATCCAAATACACATATTTTCCACTTCTTGAAAACATGGAACAACTCTCATATCTTCTTCTTCAAATTAAACATTCAAATTCTTTATTAATTCCAATAATAATTTACTACTACATATGAAATTTAAATGGGGTAAAGTAGGAAAGATCTTGATAAAAATTAATTTTCCAATGATATTAAATAAGATGTTTTAAGTCGTCATGTGTCACATGCATGAGTCGCTCTCAATTTTCATTCATGTGGGGGATTGTTGAAAAAATTGGCCAACTTTGGCACGAGTTTTGAGTGGGACTCGGTTGTTCAATTTGGAAGATAAAAGTTGATTTTTGTTCTCCTCCGTGAGTACATCGAAATCATATACTTACTTGCCAAAATTGATGCTCGAGTGAATGAGAAATTGAGGCTCAAAGTGTGTCACTCAAAAGGGAGTTTATGTGGGAAAAATGAATTTGTCCCATATAGGAAAAAGATGAGGAACTCCAAAGGTCATTGTCATTAATGGTAGCCTAACCTATAAATAGTGGCTCATTTTTCTCATTTCAAGACACAAAAAAGTAAAAGCTTTCAAGTTTAGAATACACTAGAAATTCATTTGCATAAAATTCTCTTTTAGTGGTGGTGTAGTTCAGGCACTAGTTCAGTTCGCCGGAGTGATTTTTGCTGTGCTCGGAAGCTACTGGTTTTACCATTGTATCCTGGAAAATGGACGCTCGATTTAAACCTCAAGCACGGACGGTGAGGGGGTGAATCTGTTTTACGGAAACTGTGTGTAAGACAGGTCTCGGGTTAAAATTCTATGTTTCAGTTGTTTAATTCATGCAATTTTTCGTATTAAATTTACAGTCCATACTTCATGAATTTATGATATATTGTTCGTATGCTTCATGAATTTTAAATTCTATTGGAACAAAAGTTATTTGTTGGAAATAAAATTTTCAATGATCTGGTGAAAATTCGATATACGATTGTTTGAATTTTGTTGATTTGCATAGTTGCAAAATTAAAAGGCTTTGTCAAAAAAACCTAAACTGTCTAAGAAGAGCTTGGAATTTAAGCGGTCCGATTGTGACCCCCTCCTCATCTGGGAGTCTTTCATTTGCGCATTATTCAAATTGACGAGACGAAAGACAACATTTTTCGATTTTATCCACATACACTGAATTTCCTACC